AAAAAGTTAATTATAAACTCGTTATAACAAGCTTTACCTTAAAAACTCGTGGGAATTGTGGCCAAGGGTTATCACTAGCCCTTAAAATTTAAAGCAACCAGTTAACATATGAACCTTTTATTTAATGCAATAATGGAAAAAAAAATCTAATACCTTTTTGCCGGTGGTTCAGGTAAGAGTTCAAAGTTTACAACAGACTTTGCACCTAAGAAAAAAAAAAAAATAGTGAATACAGATATGCCAAAATGATGTTAAAGCATGAATAGGTTCGAAATAAATACTAACCGTGACGTACAGCAGTACCTAAAGGAATCATGCATTGAAATGAAAGTAGACAATAAATTTAATAAATATACGATAAATTTTTATTAAAAAAAAAAGTTTAAAGTAATTACCAATGCAGTCACATCCAGTATCACCACCACCAATAACAATAACTAATTGAAGAAAATCATGGTTAGAATCTTTAATATAGCTTGATTTGATAAATTTATCGGAAAACAAAACTTTTTTTACCATGTTTATCTTTTGCATCAATATATTTGCCATTCTGAAGATTTGAATCCAGAAGACTTTGTGTATTAAGTTGTAAGTATTCCATAGCAAAGTAAATGCCATCCAAATTCCTATTCGGTATAGGTAAATCTCTTGGCCAAGTAGCTCCAGTAGCTACTATTAGTGCATCATTTTCTAGTCGGACTTTTGTTGCATCAACATTTACGCCAACGTGAGCATTTGCTACAAATTTAATTCCTTCTTGTGCCAACAGATCAATTCTTCGTTGTACTGTTTTTTTGTCAAGTTTCATATTAGGGATACCATACATTAATAGTCCACCAAATCTGTCATTACGATCATAAATAGTAACAGTATGACCAGCTTTGTTTAATTGATCTGCAGCTGAAAGACCAGCTGGACCTGATCCAATAATAGCAACTTTTTTTCCAGTACGAATAGATGGTGGGTTAGGAACTATCCAACCCATTTCAAATCCTTTGTCAATAATAGCACATTCGATAGACTTAATGCTAACAGGTAATTCATTTATTCCCAAGACACATGCTCCTTCACAGGGAGCTGGGCACACGCGACCTGTAAATTCAGGAAAATTGTTCGTCATCATTAACCTATTTAAAGCATCAAGCCATTGATTCTTAAATACAAGATCATTCCATTTTGGAATGATATTTCCAATCGGGCAACCAGTATCAGATTGACAAAATGGAACACCACAATCCATACAACGAGCAGCTTGTACTTTAAGTTGTGCATCGCTTAATCGAGCGTTAATTTCTTTCCAATCCTTGATACGTTTAACAGGATTTCGGTAATTATC